AGTGCAATCAGGTCAGGAGCAGATGTACACGTGTCTATGCACAGGTGGGTGTATCGCTCCCCAGGGGCGTTCCCCAGGCGTGTCTACAATCCTGTGTGCCAGCTGGGAAGCCCAGATCCTTTGTGACCAAGCACACACTGTCTCCGAGAAGTTAGTCTGTATTTCCTACACAAACAGCGTTTCCTCAGACGCGCTGCCCTCGCGCAGTGCCCAGCCTGAAAATCTGCTCGGCGTGGCTCTGACGGCCCAGGAAAAAGACCCGTGTGGCTGGCTTTCTTCCCACAGGACTGCTGGGTGAATCAGATAAGAGATGGAAAAGCACTGTGATCGTAGATTTTATTATTATCTTACTTCCCTAAAAGAAATGTCCCTCCTGGGTCTTTGAATTACTTAGACCATTTCTTTTTCTATTGACTTTGGATTCCCGAGAGGGAATTACAGTTTCAACAAGTGATAGCTGCTGTGGCTTCGTGGAGTGATTGACTGACAGAGCAGGCAGGCACCCTAGGGATTATCTACTCCCACTGCCGTGCGGGTGGGGAAGCCGAAGACAGGGCCAGGGCTCCATCCAGAAACAGCGGAGGCTCTTCGCCTGGACCTGCTTGTGCGGGGCTGTTCTGTGCTGAAACGGGAATATTGTTCCCGGGGGCCGCAAAGGGGAGGCCCTCAGACCCCGTCTCCTCACCACGGGTCTTTCTGCGAGAGCGCTTGAAGCTGAGCAGGGCCATGGGCTCCGGGTCTCTGTCTGAGCTGAGTCAGCAGGCTGGGTCGGCTCAGAGCTTACCAGAAAGGCAGTCAGCAGGCATCTGGATGGTCCCCGCACACTGCCGAGGCTGCCGCCCGCGTTCAAAAGGCAGTGAGCACTTCACGCGGAACCCTTGACAGAGACACACTATTTTGTAGTGTTCTTGACAGGCTGGCAGGAGAATCTCAAGAGAAACAGAGGGAGATGTATTGGAAAGAAAAGAGAAGGCGGTTGGGATTGAATGAGGAGTGGAAGGGGGAAAAAAAGAGGGTTTGTGGGAGAAAGTGCGCTACCCAACCGGCAAAGAAAATAGAGATGCTTCCGATCCACCTTGTTCAACAAACTGCACCTCCAAGATGCCTTTCAAAACGCGGGGATTTCCCTCTCCATTTGAAAGGCTCCTTACTACTGCCGACTGATGAGAGTGGAGGCCAGTTGCAGCTCCGTTTTCATGGAGCCTGCCTGTCAGGGCCTGACTCTGCGATCATAAGAGTCATCCCCAGACACGCTCTGTCCCGAAGGCACAGGCTGTCCTTCTCCCCGGGCAGGGGCCATTCTGTTCCGGGTACCTCGCCCACCGTCGCACCCAGGACCAAGGATATAGCATTTAATAGACTTTTGAAGGGCCCTTATTTCAAAACAAAATATTGGGAGTCTGATCTGAATGTTCTTTGAGGGGGCAAGGAGATGAAATAATTATCTATTTAATTTTCATACAATTTTTAAAGCTTACACCCCATTTGCAGTTATTACATAATATTGGCTCTATTCCCTGACTTGTGCACCGCATCCTTTAGCCTAATTTATTCCCAACGGTCTGTACCTCCTACTCCTTACCCTTATATTGCCACTGGTAGCCAGGAGTTTGTTTTCTGTATCTGTGAGTCTCTTTCTTGTTCTATTCACTAATTTTTTGCCGTTTTAGATTCTACATAGAAGTGATATTATACATTGTTTGTCTTTCTTTTTCTGACTTATTTCACTTAACATAATGCCCTCCAAGTCCATCTATTTTTCTGAAAATGGAAAAATTTTGTTCTTTTTTATGGCTGAGTAATATTCCATGTGTGTGTGTGTGTGTGTGTGTGTGTATACACCACATCATGTTTATCCATTCATCTGTTAGTTGACTCTTAGGTTGCATTCATATCTTGGATATTGTCAATAATGCTGTAATGAACATTGGAATGCTTATATTTTTCTGAACTAGTGTTTTTGGGTTTTTGTGTGGGTTTTTTTGGATATATATACCCCGGAGTAGAATTGTTGGGTCATATGGTATTTCTACTTTAAGTTCTTTGAGAAACCATGAAAGACTTTTTAGTACTTATTGACTTATGTGGCTGCCTTGGGGCCTGGTTGCGGCACATGGGATCCTTCATTGCGGTGCTCAGGCTCTCTAGCTGGAATGCACGAACTTAGTTGCTCCAAGGTATGTGGCATCTTAGGTCTCCGACCAGGGATTGAACTTGCTTCCTCTGCATTGCAAGGTGGATTCTTAACCACTGGACCATTAGGACCAGAGAAGTCCTAATCATGAAATATTTAAAATAGAAATTTGCCTGAACATCTAGGACAAATGAACAAGTGTACATGTTTCTTGATGACTCAGAAATAATAGCAACCAAACCAAAAACAACAGCAGTAGCGGATACCTTCTTGCCCCATGGATCATAAGACCACATTCTCTCATTTCCAACATCTCCAGCAGTTATTTAATAATCCAACCAATGTTGACTGAACACCTACTGTGGGTCAAATATCAGACTAGACTTTTGGGGAAGGGGATATAAAAACCAAGATGTGACCACTGCCCTTCCTCGAAGGGATCAGGTGCTAAGATGCAGTGCAGAGGTCACAGGCATGAAAGAAGACACACCACAGCCACTGATATCATCCAGGGGGGAGCAATGCGTTGTTGGAGCCCAGAATAGATTCCTCAACTCTGCAACTCGAGAAGTGGGTCACAAAGCAGGTGACTTCTGAGATGGGCCTTGGCAGATGGGTGGAGAGTTGGGAGGTGAGTGAGGAACTTCGAAGTTTCTTCTAGACAAGTAATTGCAGAGACTTTGAAATGCAGAGACATTTGAGCAGCAATGGAGGTTCCAAGGGGCTTGGTGTAGGTTGATCAGTAGTGAGGAATGGGTCTAGGAGCGCCTGGTTTGGGAGTTAGAGCTGGGACCTTAGTCAGTAGGGGTGGGGGGGGGGGGTGGCCAGGGCTGGGAGCTTGTGAACAGAATAGGGCTCTGGTGGGGGGATGGGGAAAGGACCCAGTTGGTGGGGACCCCAGGTAAGGCCTGCAGGTCAGATGTTGTCTCCTCACTTGAGAAGAGATTCAGAGGGCTGGCACCGTAATAAAAGAACTGGAAAGCAAGCCAGATTTGGGAGATGTTTGTGAGGACAAATGATAAGACTTACTGACCATTTGGCTGGAGAAAGAAGAAAAAGGCATATGGTCAAAAAGACAAGGTTTAAGTGCGTGTAATTGAGAAGCTACTGATGCTATTAGCCAAATTTGGAAATAAGACTAAGGATCCAGTTCAGGGGGAACTAGTGCACCCTCTGCCTCCTTCCCATGGTTATAGCCACTGATACTGAACAAGTATTCCCTTATTAATTTTCATTAGCTTCCCTCTGAAAGCATAGACTCTCCCTTGGGGATGAAAACATGTAACTAGATGATGTAATACAAGACAGATTGGGGTACCTTTCAAAACAGAGATGACCGGAAGGCAGGAAAAAGAAGATAATCCCTGGAGAAATCAGAAAAGGCTTCCTGGAGGAGATGTCATTGGATTTCAGTCTTGAAGGATGAATGAGTTCAACCCTCAGAAATAGCATTTTAGAAGTAATAGAGGGGAATTGTGAGAGAGAAAGCAGAAGACGTTGGAAATGCCAGTGTGACTCAGTGCTGAATTAGGAGCATGGTGGAAAGTTACTGAAGGACCTGGGCTCCTGAAAGTCATGGCTGACAATGGCCAGGGCCCTGCTGGAGCCCCAGAGGGAGCCTGAACTGGGCAAGGAGAAAATGACTTTCCAAGCTGCCCATCTGATCTCGCAGTTCAGTTCAGTTCAGTCACTCAGTCGTGTCCGAATCTTTGAGACCCCATGGACTGCAGCACACCAGGCTTCCTTGTCCATCACCAATTCCTGGAGCTTGCTCAAACTCATGTCCATCCAGTTGGTGATACCATCGAACCATCCCATCCTCTGTTGGCCCCTTCTCCTCCTGCCCTCAATCTTTCTCATCATCAGGGTCTTTTCCAATGAGTCAGCTCTTCACATCAGGTGGCCAAAGTATTTGAGTTTCAGCTTCAGCATCAGTCCTTCCAGTGAATATTCAGGACTGATCTCCTCTAGGATGGACTGGTTGGATCTCCTTGCAATCCAAGGGACTCTCAAAAGTCTTCTCCAACACCACAGTTCAGAAGCATCTATTCTTTGGCACTCAGCTTTCTTTATGCTCCAAATCTCACATCTATACATGACTACAGGAAAAACTATAGCTTTGACTAGACAGACCTTTGTTGGCAAAGTAATGTCTCTGCTTTTTAAAATGCTGTCTAGGTTAGTCATAGCTCTTCTTCCAAGGAGCAAGCGTCTTTTAATTTCATGACTGCAATCACCATCTATAGTAATTTTGGAGCCCAAGTTCACAGATCTCTCATGGCTCATCAATTCTTAGGCTCCAGCTAGGCCTCTTCTGGGGGGAGCTGAAGACAAGCTCTCAGAGCTAATAAGTTTATGTGGAGTGTTGTGTAAAACCAGGTTGGATTCATTATTGATGCAAACTTAGGCAAATGAGAGCTGGCTCCAGCTTGGCAAGGTTCCCTTCAGCACATTAGCTTGGGCGGCCTCCTGGGGAGAGCCACACGCCTGTCGGTGGCTCCAATCCACCAAGGGGGAAGCACACACGGAGGGGCTTTGAACCCCTGACTTCAGATTTGGGCCCAGAATCTCAGCTGCCTCCAAACACCATCTGGGCACGCAGGCCCAGCATGACCAGGGAGCTCGCTCCTAGCCTCCCGTCGATTCCCTGGCTGCCAGGCCGTGCGCAGAAAACAATATCCGTGATCACAGCCTCACAGATTCAATTCTGCCCCTTTTAATTAAATGACCTCAGCCTTGCAAATTGCAGCAGTGGATGCAAGCTCACACCAGACACGCAGCTGCAGACCCAAGACACCACGCAGTTCGGAAGGGGCGGCCAAGACCAGTAGTCCCCATGGGAAGAGCCCAACGTCCGGCGAGGCGAATGAGCGAGGAGCACCTTCCTAGCCCCCCAGCCTCCCTGGGTGGCTGTGCTGACTTCAACCATCCCTCTGACAGGCATTTATGGAGGACCTACTATGTGCCAAGCCCTGTGTGAGCACTGAAAACACAGGGGTGAGAGTGATGGCCTTGCGTTAGGGATCTGGTCTTTGGGAGCACAGAGAAGCAAGGAGATGATGGCCTGCTGGTGTCCTAGGAGAGCCCAGTTAGGGGTACGGGGCAGACCCGGGGGCAAAGGGCATGCAGGCATTTGGACATTATCCTGAGTGGATGGGGGTGACTGGGACCCAGGAGAGGGTGGAAAAGAAGTGTATTTATCCATCACATGCCATATCACTCAGGCCAGGAAAGTTCTGGAAATGCTGCAGGAAAAAAAAAAAAAAAACCTTCACATCTCTGCTCTCCCTCCCCTAAAGCACCTCTGCCCTGCCCCATCCCCCAGGCAAGCATCAGGTCTCTGAGTTAGTTCTAGGAAGTGCTTTCCCAGACAGAACAGATGAGGGGATGAAACTTGAAAAATGCGTGAATGCAGCATTAGGGGATCGATGACTCTGGCTGTACAATTCCTGGGGCATTTTCCCCATCTGAGAAATGGGCACATGCACCCTATCCTGTGCCTCATAAGATTCAAATGTGAGGGAGGGGGGACCAGGATGGGGAATACATGTAAATCCATGGCTAATTCATTTCAATGTATGACAAAAACCACTGCAATGTTGTAAAGTAATTAGCCTCCAACTAATAAAAATAAATGGAAAAAAAAAAGATTCAAATGTGAAAGGTCAAGGTCACAGTAAACACTCAACACACGTCTTGAGTGAATGAAACACAGTGGAAGTTCTTGGTCGAGTGAAAAGCGTCCACAGACAGGAGGTGAGTGTTGTGCTCTGGAGCTTTCAGCTGCCTGCTTTATCTGCTGTCAGTTGATTGCACTTAGCTTGCAGAAGTGAACAGGGGTTGGGAGCAGCACTTATGAGGATTCATTCATTCCCTTATTCGGCAAATACTTACTAGGCAGCTGCCCTATTTATACCCTGTGGCTCCAATGGTGACGTTGCAAACCTGGCCCCTGCCCCCTGACCTTCAAGGTCAGTGGAGAGACGGACACTGATGAAATAGTCCCACGGTGAACGTGTGATCACCTAGTGTGGTAGCGCGTCCTGAAAGAGAAATGCAGGAAGGTGCAGGAAATGGAAGGCCATGGCAGTGGGAAGACCTCACACCCCTGGTTCTTCATTCAGCCAACAAGGGAATGAATGAACGAATGGATGCTCCTGAGTGCTGGTTCCCCTTCTGGGATGCCCTTCTCAGCTCTGGACAGGGCTGGGTCCACCTTGCATCCTGGACCCCAACTTAGCATCATCTCCTTAGAACAGCCTTCCCTAAGCCTCCTTTAAGGTGCTCTGTAACACCACCATTTTATTTTCCTCAAAGCACTTATCATTGTCTGATATGCATATATATATATGTGTGTGTGTGTGTATATAAATTCATTAGTTCACTGCCTGTGTCTGCCTGTTGGAAGGTAAGCTGTATATGAGCTGGGGCTGTCCCAGTGTCCCCAGCCTTGGGAACGGCCATGATAGGAGCCAGTAAACATGGAATTTATCAGGGAAGGACACATGGCCAGGAAGATTGGAGGGCGGGGGGGGGGAGCGGTGCTGAGTTTCCAACTGGATCTTAACCCAGAGTTTTCCAGACTAGGATGTCCTCAGACACCAGGATCTGGGAGGGGGCGAGCTTTGAGAGAGGTGCGGCCTCTGCAAGCGTGAGCTGCCGTGACTCCCACGGGGGTGACAGGAGAGCTGCCTCCAGAGTCGTTACAGACTGTGCTTCGAACGGCTCAGGAGAAGCGGCTCGTAGTGACCGAGGTGGCGCTGGAGGTGGGGGTAGCAGACCGGTGAGTGCTTGGGGGTTTTTGTGTTATTGATTGTAGTTGATTCACAATCTTGTGTTAGCTTTGGGTGCACAGCAAAGTGATTCAGTTCTTTACATATATTCTTTTTCAGATTTTTTTTACACTATAGGTTATTACAAATTATAGAATATAGTTTGCTGTGCAATACAGTAGGACCTTGATGGTTATCTATTTTACGTGTAGCAGTGTTGTATCTTAATCCCCATCTCCTAATTTAACTCTCCCTCCTTTCCCCTTTGGTAACCGTAAATTTGTTTGCTATGTCTGCAAGTCTATTTCTGCTTTGTAAATAAATTCATTTGCATCAATTTTTTTTGTTTTAGATTTCACATATAAGTGATACCATATAGTATCATTCCCTGTCTGGCTTACTTGACTTAGTAGGATAATCTCTAGGTCCAGATATTGCAAGAATTTACAGCTACTCGCAAAAATGTGTGGGACTGAAGTTGACTGTGAACGTCACCAGTGAACTTTAATTCTTCTGAAGGCTTCAGACAGTCTCTTCCTTTTCAGATCAGTGAGAGGGTTCCTGTGCCTGGCTCCAGTGTGGTCATCCGGGATTCCCCATGTGCCCCAAATGAAAAAGTGTGGTTTGATAAAAATGAACCCAGGGTTAGAGAGCAGGGTGACAGGGATTCAAATTCTGACTCTATCTTTTACTATCTGCTAGAATCTAAAGAAGGAACTGAATCGCTGAGACTTCCTTTCTTCGTGTGAAAGATGCTGGTTGTTGAGAGGATAAAAACGATACCCTGTAATATTGTGTGTAACATGCAACACTGTGTTCCATAAACATCACTCACTTCCTCTCTGACTTTTGCTCCAAAGGAGAGGTGCTGATGACCTCCAAAAGGGCTCCCTACCTTTCACCTCCTGAACTCATCCCTACTTTGGGGGCCACAAGCCTTTCTGAGCCTTGGTTTCCCAGCCTCAAATGCTGGAGTAGCCAGTTTTTTCCTAACTTAATTATATCCTCGGAGAAAGTGCCTCATGGTGCATGTACTAAATTAAAACATTAATTAAAATAAAACATGAGCTCAGCAACAATTAAAGTGGAAGAAGAAGTATATATAAAATAATTCATACACACACATGTATATTTAAAAACACCCCAGCCTTGCTCTCAAAGCCCTCAGGATCTAAGAATGGCTTGAGGGCTGACAACCAGGGACTTGCTCCCAAATTGTAAGGGGTACCCAAGGGGGCCACGGTCTTCCAACAGCATGCTGTTTGAGCCTCTCATGGTCAGTATTTTAAAATCTTAGCAGAATTCTGCTTCTGCCCACATCCTCTTTCAACCAGAGGCATCTGCTTAGACGCAGCTGGGCGCTGAGATGCAGAGAAATTCCTTCTTACACCAGACAAGGATTTTTTAGAGGCCGCTCCATGTCAGCCCCTGTGCCAGGCGGTGGGATGCAGGGGTGACAGGTGGCTGCATCCCTGAGGCAGTTAGGAGTCCAGAGGTCAGACAGACTGAGGCCAGTGAGAAGCAGAGGCCAAGGCTGCCCAGTGGCCTCGCTCCAACTCAGCTGGCCCTTCCCTGTTTCTAGAAGCCTATTGGACCCTCTTTCCCTGATTCTCTGCTTGGATTATTTCCCCTGTATCCTCATCTTTTGTCTAAACAAAGCCTCCTCGTGGTCCAGAGCCCCTCCCTTTCAAAACCACCTGCCCTGGGAAGGTCTTGAGTCAGCCTCAGCCAGAACCCCAAGCCAACTGTGCCCTCCGCCAAGCTTCTTCCCTTTCAACAGACCGCACTGTTTCCCGGATACCAGGCTAGCTGCTCGGAACAGAGAAGCCGACTTAGAGAAGGGCCTTGTGGACAGAGCAGGAGGGGAGGGGGATGGACTGAGAGAGCGCAGCGCGGACACTGATACACCACCGCGCGGAAAGTCGGAGCTAGTGGGAGGCAGCACGGGCTGTCCAGCACAGTTCTCCTCGATGACCTGGGGGGCGGGATGCGGGGCGGGATGCGGGGCGGGAGGGACACTCTAGAGGGAGGGGATATATGTACACATAGAGCTGATTCGCTTCATTGCACAGCAGAAGCTCACCCTGTAAAACAGATATACTCCAACTTTAAAAAAAAAAACCCTTGGATTCATGTTGATACTTGGAAGGAAAAAACAACATTCTGTAAAGCAGTTATCTAATTTAGAAATTAATTAATATAAAAATAAAAATAAAAAACCTGCTGCTCAGGTTTGATACACATATTTTTATATGGATACATCATGATAAGGAAATTTCAGGACCAAAAGGGACTGGAGAGATGATCTGGTCCACTGCCTTTATTTCACACACGTGAGGCTCAAGGACCCCAGAGAAGGACCAACAAACCCACAGTGACGCATGAGACGGAGCTCAGCCAGGCTTGGACGCTGGACCTCCTGACTCCCGGTCCACGCTCCTCTGTCCTTGCTACCGAGGTGTCCCCGCCCCCTCACTGGTTATCTCATCCTTCAGGGTTCTGGGTAACAAAGAGAGCGGTCCATCTGGCTAGCAGGATCTAGAGATCTGAGTAGCCAGTCTGACCACGGCAGCGGGCTGTGGCCATCCCCAGCCTATTTCAGTGGAACATGTTTAGCAAATATCACCTCCTACAGAACGCCTTCCTGATGAGTCCAGCCCATCCCGAGCTCCCCTCTGTGAAGTCTGTCATGCAGCTCAGCAGATCCTGGAGGGGCTGACCGATCCTACCATTCCTGGGGTCACCACCTCTGCCGAGCCCAAGAGAACTGATTCTCCCTGAATCAAGTCCCTCCACGTTCGTGATTAAAGAGAATCCGAGCTGAAACGGGCTTCCACTTCTGCTCACCAGTTCTCTAGTGTGTAAAGCTATAACAGAAGCGTGGTCAGCTTGGAGCCTGGGTCTGAGTCTCACTTTGGTGCTTCTCACCTGAGCGTCTATCAACTTCACTCAATCTTCTCCTTATCTGACGTTTTTCTCCTCCTATCACCATCGTGACCAGCATCTCATGGCAAAGCTAGGGAACCCATGGGAGAGACTGGAGGAGCAAGGCCAAGTACCATTCCCAGAGGTCTCCTCCAATCTCCTGTGGTTTCTCGGAGGACGTGCTAAGAATCTGCCTGTGAGCACTAGACAAGGGTCCACGTGGAGGCAGGATTCATGTCACACCTTAACCCTGAAGAAATGCAGGGAGCTCCTCGGGAATACACCCTTAGGCAGCAGGGGTCCTGGAGCCAGATCATTTTGCTTAACTTAGGACTCTGGCTCGTCAACATTAGGCAAGATCACAGCGTGGGGTCAACCAGCACATTTCTACCCACTTAGCAAAGCCCTCTGGTGATAACCTCCACTTGTGTCTCTATTAGAACACCCTACCTTTACCGTCAGTGATGCTGAAGGTCAACATAAATTGGTCTAACCATTCCTTATGCCCTTGTGACTCCAGAGATAGCACAGAGCAGTAAAACAGTGTGAGGTTTAGCATCGAACAGGCCTAAATTCAAGCCCTTCTTCTTTCCCTTCTTAGCCATGGGATTCAAAGCAAATATCATAATATATCTGGGCCTCAGTTTCCTCATCTGTAAAATGGAAATAATAATAGTACCTGCTTCACAAAATTTCATGAAGAGTAAATGAAAATATCTATGTAAAATACTTAGCAAGGTGAGTGTATAGTAAGTACTCAATAAATAGTAGCTACAATTACTGGATGTATTGTCATTATTATCTATATCATCCTAATCATTAGTAATAGTAGTAGTAGTAGTAATTCATTTTTTAAATTGGAGCATAATTGCTTTCAGTTCAGTCTGCTTCAGTCAATTAGTCGTGTCCTATTCTTTGTGACCCCATGGACTGCAGCACACTAGGCCTCCCTGTCCATCACCAACTCCTGGAGTTTACTCAAACTCATGTCCATTGACTCGATGATGCCATTCAACCATCTCATCCTGTCGTCCCCTTCTCCTCCTGCCCCCAATCCCTCCCAGCATCAGGGGATTTTCCAATGAGTCAGCTCTTTGCATCAGATGGCCAAAGTATTGGAGTTTCAGCTTCAGCATCAGTCCTTCCAATGAACACCCAGGACTGATTTCCTTTAGGATGTACTGCTTGGATCTCCTTGCAGTCCAAGGGATTCGCAAGAGTCTTCTCCAACACCACAGTTCAAAAGCATCAATTTTTTGGTGCTCAGCTTTCTTTATAGTCCAACTCTCACATCCATACATGACTACTGGAAAAACCATAGCCTTGACTAGACGAAACTTTGTCAGCAAAGTAATGTCTCTGCTTTTTATTTATTTATTTATTTATTTTTTTAGTTCTACCACTTTATTGCTACCAACCCATCTCCCTCCATCCTCGTGCACACATGCTCAGTCATGTAACTCCATGGACTGCAGCCCGCCAGGCCCCTCTGTCCACGGACTTTTCCAGGCAAGAATACTAGAGTGGGTTGCCATTTCCTTCTCCATGTCTCTGCTTTTTAATATGCTGTCTAGGTTGGTCATAACTTCTCTTCCAAGGAGTAAGTGTCTTTTAATTTCATGGCTTCAGTCACCCTCTGCAGTGATTTTGGAGCCAAAAAAAATAAAGTCTGACACTGTTTCCTCTGTTTCCCCATCTATTTGCCATGAAGTGATAGAACCAGATCCCATGATCTTAGTTTTCTGAATGTTGAGCTTTAAGCCAACCTTTTCACTCTCTTCTTTCACTTTCATCAAGAGGCTCATTAGTTTTTCTATCAGCTTCTGCCATAAGGGTGGTGTCGTCTGCATATCTGAGGTTATTGATATTTCTCCCGGCAATCTTGATTCCAGCTTGTGCTTCCTCCAGCCCAGCATTTCTCATGATGTACTCTGCATATAAGTTAAATAAGCAGGGTGACAAAACACAGCCTTCAGGTATTCCTTTCCCTATTTGGAACCAGCCTGTTGTTCCATGTCCAGTTCTAATTGTTGCTTCCTGACCTGCATACAGATTTTGCAAGAGACAGGTCAGGTGGTATGGTATT